ACCCTGCTTTCCTCCATGTCCTAGATGAGGCATGATGGTACTTGAAAGGATTAAATGTTTTAATACTAAGTTCCATGTATATAGTAAGAGCCCAATAAAGTCCTTAAATAAATTATGTACAGTATTTAATATATTGGAACTAGAGGCCTGGTGCATGAATTTGTGCACCAGTGGGGTGCCTCAGCCTGATCTGCAGAATCAGGCCGAAACTGGCTCTCTGACATCCCTTGAGGGATCCTGGATTGCAAGAGGGCACAGGCCAGTCTGAGGGACCCTACCTGTGCACAATGGGGGCCAGGGAGGGATGCGGGAAGTTGGCCAGCAGGGGAGGGACCACAAGAAGTCTTCAGGGCATGTCCAGCCCATCTCACTCAGGCCTGATTGGCCAGACCCCAGCAGCAAGCTAACCTATCAGTTGGAGCATCTGCCCCTGATGGTCAGTGCACGTCATAGCAACTGGTCAACTGTCTGCCCCCTGGTGGTTAGTGCATGTCATAGCAAGCAGTTGAGCAGCCTTAGCATATCATTAGCATATTACACTTTGATCATTTGGACAGCTGACTAGCCACTTAGCATATTAGACTTTTATTACATAGGACTAAAGGCCTGGTGCACAAAATTTGTGCATGGGGGGGTGTCCCTCAACCTGCCCTGCACCTTATCCAATCTGGGACCCCTCGGGGGATGTCTAACTGCCGGCTTAGTGCCAGTCCCTGTGAATTGGCCTAAATCGGCCGTCAGACATCCCTCTCACAATCTGGGACTGCTGGCTCCTAACCATTCAAATGACTTCCTGCATGATTTCCCCTAACCACCTCTGCCTGGCCTGATCTCCCCTAATCACCCCCTAACCACTCCCCTGCCAGCCTGATCGCCCCCAACTTCCCTCCCTTGATGGCCTGATTGCCCCCTGCTTGTTTCCCTGCACCAGCCTGATCGCACCCCTAACTGCTTGCTCCCCTGCCAGCCTGGTTGCCCCTAACCACCTCTGCTTCAGCCCTGCCAGTGGCTTTTGTTTGGAAGAAAGTCAGGATGACTGGAAGATGTCAGGTTGGCCCGATCTAATTAGTATATTACCCTTTTATTAGTATAGATTACTTGCTAATATATAGCTCCCATTTAATTCTATGTGCTTTGAGGGTATAATTATTACTACTATGCACGGGATTTTGCATGTACTAATTACTTTCACAACATTCTGCTGTGGTTCTTGATTTAAAAAGTATATATATATATATATATATATATATATATATATATATATATAATCTCCATTGTTCTCTCCTCCCTATATACTGTCCAGGAACAAAAGATTCAAAAAATTAATAATTTGGAGAACAGATGTTATTGTTGATTAGGAATTATCAATTAAATGATATTTCATTCTTCAGCCTTTTACAATATGTATTTACTTGGGAGCTGAATATAACTGAATATCTTAAATATCTTAAAATAATGATATGGGATGGGTACTTTGCATTACTTTGTCCAACCAGATCTAAATGTTTTTTGGTTAACATGAAGAAAAAGTACATGAAATGCTCTGAAAGAAATGTGTGTGTTCATTTGAAAAGAACATACCAATTCTACATTTAGTTAACATTCATTTTATAAAATACCTTAAAAGAAAAGATAAAGTACTTGAGTTTACATAATAACCAGAATTGAAAAAGGATGAATAAAGTATAAATTAATTGAGCACATAACTATTTTGCCACATTAAACAGATTTTTTTTAAAAAGGCATTTAAAAAATAAAATAGTAATTGGGAAGAAAACCCTTCATTCTATTGCTTTTTCTGGGAACTTTTCCTAGAAAGCACTAAAATTCCAGGTTAGCAGGTTATACCTGTTTTGTTGAAAACATGCCATAATTTGCTTCCAAAATCTGTCAGCTTAAGAGAACTAATTAGAACTTTAAACAGGATTATAATTCAGTGCAAATTAAAGCTTTACGTTGAAAATTGGGGAGGAATCATAATGTCCAAACTTTAGGAAACACTTCTGAAACTAAAAAGGAGATTCACATTATGAAGAAATCTTTGCAAGTATTCCTGTGTGTGAAATGTTTAAAAATTGGCCCTTTGAGGTTGCAACTGGGAGTCTATATTAAGACTATTTGCAATGTGGGCAAGGTCATCTTTATGGAAAGAAGTTTAAGTTAACCATAAGCACTGCTTTGATTAAATTTCAGAAAATTTGGCCAGGATATGACAGACATTGAGGGGAAATAAATTTATGGAAATTACTTTGACTACCATCAAGGATAAATACTTTTGCCCCTAGAACATGTTGGGGGATGGGGAAGAGCAGGTTAATGCTGCCCATGATTTGTTTTAAATATTAGGGATATTATAGCATGCCAGCTAAAAAAAAGAAAATCATACTACCAAGACTTGGAGAAATGTGAGGAGTGCCTAAGTTTTTGGTCACAGTAAAACCAAGTTGGGATCATTATCAACCATTAATGGGCAGTCACTTTATAATTAAAAATATGTGGGTTTAATTAATTTCTCAAAAGTTTTTCTTGTTATTTTATAAGTCATAAATAATAGGTAGCAATGGGATTTTCATGACAGTTTTTGATAGAAAGTTTTCTCTTTTCATTCCATTCTGTCCAAGTTTTTGATTCATTCTTTTAAATGACAAACCAGTGGTTGATATTGAGTACAAGATGTAGAGATTTTGGTAGAAGTTAGTAAAATAGATTTTTATAAAAAATTTCCAGTCTAATTTACTATATTCCCATAAGTCTCCTCTTTTTTTTCCTTCTAATTATCACTTGAAATGTTCACACATTATTCAGAAATTATTTGAGAATGTACTGTTTTCTAACATTGTATTTTGCATCATTCCTAATCTATTAAGACTGTCATAACAATGGTATCACAATGAAGTGGCAACTTTTAGATTTTAGACTATACCTATGATCAGCAAGTCACAAAGCCCAAAATACAGTGCTATTCCCATGTGACATCCAAAACTGATTAAATAATTGAAAAACCACGATGACATAACATTGAGTTCATAAAGCAATGGAGAATTAGCCAATATAATTTTTAAAAAGTGTAAGAAAACTGCAGACATATTCCAAACTCACAGGAAGAATATCTAAGGCAAATTAAAAATTCCCTTCTAGGGACATTAATCGGCTCAGAATCACCTGAAGAAATTAAAACACAAGCATAAACTATCCAAGGCGTATGACTCCTCAAGGACCTCACATCGTGATAGCGAAACTGTCAAGCGAGGGCAGGTGTCAGTTTGCACAGGAGTGCATCAGTTCCCCTCCAGGTCACTACATGTGTCTTGAATAACATTACTTTCCATGGGATCTGCTAGCTGTTTGGCCCATCCTTTCACATCCTGAAGAGCGGCTCACCATCAGATGCATCTTTTTACATCACACTGTATGTCAAGTTACGGAGTGGGAGAAGCATGCACAATCCTGCAATTAGTCTGTATTTAGAACACCTTCTGTGGTTCAGATACTTTACACAGACTTTTGTCTCATTACTCCACTAACTTGTCATTAGGAAAGAAGAAAAAAAAAGTAGATTGCCTAAAAATTCTGAAGCTTTGACAGAAACCTTCCAGGCTTTGTCCATCAGAGACTTTTACCATCAAAAGCACAGATAAAAAAACAAACTGAAATCAGCTTGCAACAGTTTGTGCTTTAAAAACAGTGCTGATCGCATCACAGATGCACAATAAATATTTGTAGCGTTATTAAAAGTATCAACACGGTTTCTGAAGAACCAACCTCCATATTGCAAAAAAAGGCAAACCTATACATTTCTTTCACCTGACTGGATGAAGCATTGTGCAGCAATGAATGAATTTACAAATTTAATACAAATTGTAATTTGATTGCAGAGAGAAAATTACTAAGAATTTTGCAAAAAAAAAAAAAAAAAGATTTGCCACAGTAGCATTAACACTTAACAGTGCATCAAAGATTTAATGTTTCCACTGCAAAATGAACTGGATCCTAAACCTGTTAGGTACCAGAGTGTGATCACTCAAATAGGAAGTTTGGGAGAGGTATGACCATAATTTTACCTGAAAGTCATGAGTGTATTTCAGGGAGACAGCGTGCCTCACAGTGATTCAGGCATACAATCAGGGGACCTCATTATACAAGTTCTATACACACTGTCATATGTGAGAGTATTTGCCCACTTCTGCAGATAGTTGGCTTACAATAGTTTAGGTTTTCAGTTGGGACACCCTTGGGATGACAAAGATGAGAATAAAGAAGATTAATATTCCAAAACTTAGACTAAAAAGGGAAGCTCCTCTACGTTATATGAAAACACTTTATAAAAGGCAGTTCACTGACAAAAAAAAAAAAAAATGCTTTATACATTCAGGTTTTCCCCATCTCTCAACAACAATGATTTCCAAAAGAAGACTCAGTAGTGAAGGCCACACACTTTTTTTTTTTTTTTTGCACTAGTTTGATATGTTGAAAATCAGAACCTTTAAAGCATCTTGCAAATGGGAGAGATGCAATTGGTGGGGATGAAGTGTGAAGGGAAAAACCAAAGTTAAGATGTGACTTAGGTGTTTGGTATGGACAGCAAGGGAGTTGGTGGGAAATGTTACAGCAGACCTGACCGCTCAACAAAGGGTCCGTCAAGAACACAGTACAAGTATCAAAAAAACAAAACTAAAAACAAACTGCAATTCGACAACTTGTAAACAAGGAAAAGCATTTCACAGATTCAAAGTTCAAGGGAAGTAAACGTCTTTAAATTATTTTTTTTTTTATGTCAGTTCAACCCTGATTTAAAATATGGCTAGCAAAAATAAAGAAGCCGCAGCTGTGGCCATCCTGAGCAAGCAGCTGTCTTCGGGGAAGCAGCCCTTCCAGGTCCTTCGAGAAGCCACGTGAAGAGGAGACACCTTCTTTCTCCAATCCTGCTGCACGTCTCTCCTTTCCATGCTCCTGGAATATGCACCAATTACTTGACATGAGGATGGTGACAGTCCTGGCTGCTATAGATTCAGACGTGGGGAGACTGGAGGGGGGAAGGCAAATTCCCGGAGGATGCTACGGGCCACTTCGACATTATTCTGCGCTATCTCTAAGGCTCTCTTCACCTCTTCAAAGGCATAACCCTCTCCCATTAGTTTTGCAATTTTTGCATCGACATTTTCCAACGCTGCCTCGGGCCCGTGGGGTTTTCTGTGGTGGACTTCTGGTGCAGTCCTTCGGGGTCGTGGCTTAGGAGGTCTGGCTGGTGCTTGTGAACCATCTGTGTAGATTTTAAAGAGAAGCATCACTTAGATAATGAAATAAAAGGAAAGACATAAACAGCATGATCTCATTTTATAAGAAAATATGTTTTTTATTTTCTCTACAACTGAACTATTTTTTTTTCTTTTTACATACTGGAGGCTCAGTGCATGGATTCATGCACCGGTGGAGTCCCTCTGCCTGGCCTGCACCCTTGTGCAATCCGGGATCCTTTGAGGGATGTCAGAGAGCCGGTTTTGGCCCAATCCCCCCAGGCCAGGTCAAAGAATGAATCTGTCCACCTGGCCTCTGGTATGCATATAAATTATTTAGTTAATCTGGTCCCACCCTCCCCCCTTCCCTTTGAGATTCATTAGTCTGTTCCATTTCCACATGCCTGTGGTTTCTGTTCTTGTGTTAAGCATCTGCCCCCTGGTGGTCAGTGCATGTCATGGCTACTAGCCAGTCAGCTGGTCACTTAGGCTTTTATATATTTACAATAGTGGCCTGGTGCACAAAATTCGTGTACAGGGGGTGTCCCTCAGCCTGGCCTGCACCCTCTCCAATCTGGGATCCTTTTCACAATCCGGGACTGCTGGCTACTAACCGCTCACTGGCCTGCCGGCCTGATTGCCCCCAAATGCCACCTTACCACCCTCCACACCCCCAACTGCCCCCCACCCCAAGCCTGCTCGTCCCCAACTGCACCCTCCTGCCAGCTTAATCACCCCTAACACCCCCCCCGCCTGCTTGCCCCCAACTACTTCCCCCCACAACTGGCCTGCTCACCTCCCACTATCCCCCCTCCCACCAGCTCGATCACCCATTACCACCTCTGCCGCAGCCCCGCCACCATGGCTTTGTCTGGAAGAATTTCTGGAAGGGTAATAATTAGCATATTACCCTTTTATTAGTATAAATAGATTGTAAGGTAGGTTACATTGTCCCCATGTTTAACACAAATTTATTTCCAATTCCATATATTATTCTTCAAGCTTTATGTAGTAAGAGATGTAGAAGAAAAAAAAAACCTGCCTGAAAAAGACAGGCTTTCACTCTGGCAACATAGTGCAGCCTTATTTACTAGATGGAGGAAGTGTCTACTGGACAAAGTCTGTTACAACAAGCTCACAAACATTCCTTACGAACACGCCACCTGGCCCTCCACCCCCCCCATGCCACAGCAGCACTGCTCTGAGAACATGTTTGTACTGTCTGCCTGTCTGAGTTTTCAAGTTAATGCTATGAAGTGATGCCTTACTGATGCCAGGGAGGGGGCTGGGGTAGAAATAAAACGAAATGTAGATGCCTCGAGTCTACTTCTAGGTTGAACAGAAGTACTTTGCTGAAATACTTTATCCAGATTCCAATTTAGGAAGCTTTGCTTGAGAAAAAGCAAAGCCAGCCAAAACATTAGCAAGGGCCAGCTGAATTCCAGATCAGTCCCCTGATGATAAGTTTTTCTCAGTTAAACCAAATGACATAGGTGCTCACAAGTGGAGAGTAATTTTAGTAAGACAAAATAAAATTACAGGCCACCACCCGTACACATCACCAGGGCATGGGATAATAACTTGAGAGGGTTGTATATTAATACACTTTCATGGATTTCCATGTAATTATATTTGGTATTTTAACTGAGATGCCTAAGATTTTAAAAATATTACAATAAAAATTGTCAAATTTATGCCATAAAACAGTACGTAGACATCAATATTTACCATTTTTTTTTTCTTAGAGCATACACAAATGCCAAGTGATAAATTCAGAAACAGGTTAAGTAAACGAGGAAGGTGAGGCTTCTTCCCAAATGCCTCTTGCCACCTGTCCCCATCTTATCCCATCCCAATCTCTGCTGCCTTGCCACATTCCCAGTGGCTTCAGGAGATACTGTAAGTAGATATTTTCTATAGTAAAATCTAAATCATAAAATATTATCTAATACCTTATTTCATATTTTTCTAAATATGATATTTTTATATGAGAAGATAACTTGCAAAAAACATCATCCCATTCCCATTCCTAGCAATCCCATATAATAAAAGCCAAATATGCTAAGTGTCCAGTGGTCTGTTCAACCAATCAAAGCATCTGCTAATGATATGGTATGGCTGCTCAATTGCTCGCTATGGCATGCACTGACCACCAGGGGGCATACAGTTGATGGGTCTACCAGTCACTATGACGTGGACTGACCACCAGGGGCAGATCCTCTGATCAACAGGTTAGCTTGCTGCTGGGGTCTGGCCAATTGGGACTGAGCGAGGTGGGCCAGGCATGTCCTGGAGCCTTCCTGCAGTCCCTCCCTGGCTGGCCAACCTCCTGAGTCCCTCCCCGGCCCTTATCGTGCCCAGGTGGGGTCCCTTGGTCTGGCATGTGCCCTCCTGCAACCTGGGACCCCTTGGGAGATGTCAGAGAGTTGGTTTTGGCCTGATTCCACAGGCCAGGCCGAGGGATCCCACTGGTGCATGAATTCATGCACGGGGTCTTTTAGTATTTATATAACATACATAAAACCACCCAAGATGAGAATATTTGGTTCCATACCAAACTGAATAATAGTCTTATTTTTAATTTTTATTTCTTATAAGATGATGCTCAGTATGAAAAAATATTACAGTGGTAGATAAAGCTTATTAAATTCTGCTCATATAAAAGAACACATTAATTCCTGGTTCTTGCTAAGTCTGTATTGTTTCTTGCTGTAACTAAATATTTCAAATATTTATGGTCTGCTAAATTGCATTGTTTACTGTGTTTTGAGGTTCCATTTATTTTTCTATTAAGTATTTCCATTATGTTATGCAGAGATGAACAATAAATTATACTTTGCTTCTAATCATTTCCAAAAAACTATTAGAAATTCTAACAAGCCTTCCTTTAATCAATTACCATAGAATTTATACATTGAAATCTCCTCTGTTATGATTTAACTGATAAAAGTATCTAGACATAAATCAAATCTAAATTCCTTGTATTCTGCTGGTAATTTTCTAAGATTTTTTTTCTACCATTGTTATTTCGTTTCTGTCCAAAATACTAAAAAGGGCACACGAATGTCAAGCACCTGTGGAAAGAAAAGCTACTAGAGTGTGTGAATATACTGCAAAAGTAGTGCAGGAAGGCAGCCAGAGTCGCATCAAATAGGGTAACTAGAGAGAAGTCTTATGATTTAGAGCTTTTAGATTTAATAAACATTTGTATCTTTGATCTTGGTAGATGTCACCTATTAAAAAACCCCAGGAAACATATCCACTCTGTGAGGCTGCTATAATAAGTACTGGCCAAATGCAATGAAATTCCAATCACTAATTTTATTTAAGGGAAAGCTATTCTTTGCTTGTAAAAATAAGTAGCAAGCATAATTTAGGAAACCTATGTTAGCTAGAAAAAAAGAAAAAGAAAAAAACACTTGCACATACACACTACAATTAAATCAAATCTCTAGTTAGAGTATTGAAGGTCTCTCATTCTGGAATTGGTATTTTATTTTTGCACACAAACTAAAATGGAAATATCAACGAGAGAAAAAGACTCAAACTCATTCTGGAATGAGTCCAGATAGATTTTTGAAGACATTTTAATAAAATAAAACCTTATTGAAGCAAATATTTTTTCAATACATGCATTTGCCTTTTAAATCCCAAACTCATAGATCCCAGCCCTCATTGCCCTAACTCAAAATCTAGTCCCCCGAACAGTGCTGATAACTCTTCAGAATCTTACAAGTGCCCAGAAGTTGAACTGCATCATCATTAGAGCCTACAAATGGAAAAATGGAATCTGTTGTGTTGTTTTCTGGTTTTGTTTTTTTTACTATATATTATATATGAATTTCTACTTGTCATTGAATATTTTATTCAATTTTGAATATCATATTTTTGTTTGGCTGTTGTGGTCAGATACATCTCAGTGTGACCTCTAAGATATTGAGTAACTCTGACTTAAGCAATTTACTTTTACAATTCTCATTCTCCAAATCTGTGCCTGTATCTCCATTTTTAGAGTTATTACTTATCCCTTCACAGGTAGCATGTGAATTAATTAATTAATGTAATGTTCACTGTATGTGCTGAGGAGATGATTTAAAAGAAAGGACAATGTGTTCACATTTTTAATGATCACTGCTACACTGAAAACATCAATTACTGTTATTGAGAGGAATGTCACAGGGGTGGAAGAGGATAAAAACATGCCATGTTTTCTGAGTGCATACTTCTGTAGAAAGATTTTAAACAAGATCTTAAGCAAAATATCTTACAAACTGAATAGGGAAAGCCTTTTTTTTTTTTTTAAATAAAAAAAGAGGCAGACCATTTCCATGCTGATCATTAGAACAAATTGCTTAAATGGATATCTTTTGACACATTTCTTTTCAGAGTTCATAAACAGCCTTCTCTGTATCCAGTTTTCTTTTTCACAGTGTCTAATGGTAGGAGACGGCAGGTTCTTATTCGCTTTAGAGTGTGTGGGTAGGAGAAGGAAGCAATGAAACAGAAGATAAAGCTATCACACAGTTCCTTGAATTATGATAGTGTAGTTTTGGAGTACGTGGCATGACCAAATTTTACCAACTCCATAGGAATTTCGGTACCTGAATAAATATCATCCTTAAAAAGTTATTGAAAGGGCATGTTTTTACTCTAGAACTGTTGTCCATGCTCAGAGTATTTTTAACTCCTATGTGCAATAGCAACATCAAAGTAAGTACAAAAGTATGTGCATATAAATATGTGGAGCACCAGTTTTACTCAAGGATGTGAGATTGTTAATAGTTTTTAATACTGAAACAAATAAAGGTGTACCAATAAGTAAAATGCAAAATTTGCATATATTTTTTAAATTAACTGACATTGAAGCAATTTTCCTGCATATGATTGTCCATGTTTAGTTGGAGCTTTACTCCTTGTTGTTCAGAGTTAATTATTTGGTGTAGAGAAAGATTTTAGAAGCAATGATTTAAGAGTAAATTTGATTAATTTTTATCTTCTGAATCTATTAAAGAGCAGAGTCATAAAGTCCCGGACAGCATGGGAATTAACCTGATGAAAACATAATTAGAAGAATCTCTTGAATGAGTACTGTGCATCATGCATTTTAAATGAGGACACAATCAACCCCTACAGGACAAAAGCCACAGTATATAGAAATATGTAGTATATCTAGTATATCTGTGGTAATAAACTCTCATAATTACAGAGTGGGGCAGATTGAATAGTAGAAAAAAGAACTAAAAAGGCCAATAGGTGAACTATGCTATAAAAGAAAAGGGTTTGGCTCAGTGGATAGTGTCAGTCTGCAGATTGCAGGGTCCCAGGTTCAATTACAGTCAAGGGCACATACCCAGGTTGTGTGCTCCATTCCCAGAAGGGGGGTGCAGGAGCTAGCCTATCAATGATTCTCATCATTGACGTTTCTATCTCTCTCCTTCCTTTGTCTCTGAAATTAATTGGGGGAAAAACAGTGAGGGGCACTGTTGCATGTTAACATCTATAGGAATGAATACCAACTATTTTACCACAAGAGGTCCTTATTTTTTCCTCCAGTTTTTAAACTTTGGTTGTTTTTCTTGTTTTGTTTTGTTTTAGTCCATATTTTGAAAGATGTGTTTAATAAGCAAATGTCATTATTCATGAGTACATTTTTCTACTTCCTATTTCTTTTCTATTACGTCTTATTTAACAATAACTACAGCACCACTTCCATATTTTAAACCAAAGAAAAGGCACTTGATGTGTCAGTTTTCTTGCATATAAAGTTAGAATTTCAAAATATTAGTGTTTGACAATATATAAAAATAATGGACTATCATACCATAATTTAAAATGACATTTATTTTAGAAGTTTATGTGGTAAGATAAATATGATACTATGTTAAATGGAGTTGAGATAGAATTGACACATCAAGTATGATTTCAACTATGTGAGCATGTGCATAAAAAAATGTTAGAAATACTCATTTGGCAATAATATTTTTTGATGATAGGATTACAGATGACTTCTTGTTCTTGTTGCTTTTCAATTCTATTCCATTTTATACATGTCTATATTTGGAATACTTAGCATAACATTTGGCCTATCATATGCCTTAATGAATTTTAAAATGGTTATTTTGTACAATCTAAGACAATCTCTGAAGCTCATTCAGTAGTTCAGTGACAACACTTGGGATGGACATGAAGACTCTTAAACCACTGATTTCTCAACTGTATCTGAGGATTAACTGACAAAAATAATATAAATTTAACTGATTAAGGCATGATAGAAATCTAAAACTCATCTAAGCATATTATATTATAATAGACAATTATGACAGTTAAGGTTATAACATACTATTTTTAATGGTTATTAAAGAGCATTAGATTTGTATAGAAAAAAAAAAACACATTCAGGTATTCCAACTGTGTAAATGATAACAGTTTTATTATCCTTGTTAAAACACAAAACAAAATCTTCAATAATTTATCTTAAAACATCATTAATGACAATACACAAATCTAACCCTTTGTGAAGTCAAGCCATGATTTCTAATTGAGATTTTAATGGAGATAACTATAGAATATTTGACCTTAATATAAAATTCATTCAACACTCAATTACTTTTCCTTTAAGCAACCAAAGGAAATGCAGTGTTGGAATTAATTGCTTTATAATGATACATCCTTTATTTTGACTGTGTATTTGGCAATAAGACCTTTAGCAGTTACAAATAGATTCAATACAAGTTATGTGCTAAAATTATTGTATTATTTTCCAGTGTTGCCTTGAACTGCTAAGAATATGAAAAATCTCCAGAGCTAATGCCGCATTTCCTCAGCATGACTGTATTGTTCTACTACAAGATAGATTTCCTGGGTTTTTCAAGAACAGTATTCAAACTGTAGCGAATTTTATCTTATAACGAAAAAGCAAAACTAAAGTTTGTGAAAATTCAAATATACCTAGTAATAGGCACAAAGACCACATGAATAATATATTCATGTGAAGAAATAAGCAGATTATTAGCAAAAAATAGCTTCCTCATATACAAGTATATGTGAATTTAATACAAGCTGGTTAAATCCAGTTACTTCTGATTAAATATCATTAAATATCAATTGTTACATCTAAAAACCATCCTCCTCCCCACAACTTTTATAATATAATTGTCTTAAACATTTGGAAGGCTCTTTGTACATGTAGATGTGTGTGTGTGTGTGTATTATATATATATACACACACATCCTTTTTAAATAAAATTATATTTTCAAATTCTATAGAAAGTGTCTTTACATAGAAATTTTACACATAAACAAATCACTACTAGACATTTAGATCACCATGAGAAATCGAATTTATAAGGTATAGCAATTACATCAGAATCCTCAACGGTCATCTTAAAAAGGCCTTAATGAAAGCATATTACTGCAAAATAAGGGCTATTATAATCCTAAAGATAAATAACAACAAGCCTCAAGTTTTTGATGAAAAGACCTAGGATAGAAGGCAAGCCCAGTCTCTCTGCTGGTGTGAAATTAACAAGCGGACCTTTTGGTAGCTCTGTTACCTACATGCGAGCAAAGATCTTGTTGGAAAAATTATCTTATTTTCTGAGGTTTGACCTTGTTTGTAAAGAGTTCAGGGAGTAACTTGAAATATTTGCTGTCACAGCTAGCGGAAGCTCTCAGAGTAATAACCAGGTCTATTTTATCACGCAGGTAAAAGCTGGTTCAGGCTTCTGGTAAATGTCTATTTGGGGACATTTCAACAAGGTTTGTGACTCAAGGTTTATCCTTAAAATTTCTAGAGTAATCAGAATTCCTACCATTCGAAATCACACAGGTGAATGATGTTCCTCTGGGTTCTACAACACCCACATTTTATGGAACAACTTGTAAAGAAGCTGTGAAAATAGAGCATTTTGTCCATAGCTCTTCCCGTAACTTGAGTATATGTTTCTTCTAATTCAGAGTTGGTGGTATTCTAAATCAGTCACGGTACTCTCCTAAAACTCGTACTTTTACATCACTTCCTTATGGGACTTGATACCTTCATTTACACAGAAGCTGCCTGGTATTGTCTCCCCTTCTTCTTGACTTTCACACTTTTTCACTAATCTGAAAATCTACCCTTTTGACTGGAATTACAGTGCTTCATTGGCTACCCCGTGGATATGTCTAAAGTCTTGGAAATACTAGAAGTAATCTGGTAAGAGCATGGACCAAAAATTGAAAAGGCTAATAAAATTTTCTATGTTCTCCTGAGATTTATTCAGGTATTAAAACTTACAGGAGAACTTCAGCATTTCCTATGCATGTCATCAAGTATGCAAGAAATGGCTTGATAATTCTCAAATCAGCCATTACTTATTTTGATTCAGAAGTTACAGAATAAATGGCTATCACTAATAACAAACTTTCTGTGAACCGAGGTTTGAGCTAAAGAATAAAAATATAGTAAGAAAAACGTCTGATGTTACAATTATGAGATAAAAATATTGTCCAAATTGCTAAAAAAAAAAAAAAAGAGTACAACTTGTATTTATTAAAATGGTATATTCTTCCACTTAATGGCTGGTAATGGAGCATTGACTGGTAGACTTAAATAAGCTGTAAAAATTAAGAGCTTTGTGCTAATATTAATTCTAAAGAGATTTCTTCCTTAAATGGAGAAATGAAAGAATGTTGATTATAATGTATAGAGAGATTTTCCTTTTTCAGGAAAACAAAAATTAGAGAATGAATAGATATGCATCAGAGAACACATTTTACTGACTAATCAAAGATAACAGACAGCAATTTTTCTTTTCCATGAAGTAATTTTGTAGGCAAGCCTCTCATAATACAAGCTTTATAAATAACTTACAAAGGTGATAAAAATACTTTCTTAGGCTGGCAGTGCTCACTGAACTGTAAATGAATTAAAAAGGTAAGGTACTCCAAAGAGCACTGAATAAATGAAGGCATTATTACTATTATTAGCCAACTCACCTGAAGAGGACGGAAGCTGATCATAATCCTGGGATGTTCTGTTGGATTTGACATTTTCACCTGGCAATCTCCTAGCAGGAGGCAAAGGAACTTGACCACTTGCTGGATCAAAAAAGGGATCTTAAAAATTAAAGATAATTTTTAAAGTTAGAATCTCTCTTCTGGTTGATTAAAGAAAAAATTCTAGAGATTTTAGTTTTTGAAAATAAATTACAAAACTAATTTCATGACCGATAATAATTTTTAATCTGGCAGCACATTTTCTATTTGTCACTCAAAATGTTTTCCCATTTATTACTAGATAAAACAGGTAACCCGATTTTATATTTTTATTTTCAGATATTATTTAATTGTAAAATTGTTGATGCAGCTATTTCTAATTTTTATTTTCTGTTCCAATCTTTCATGTACAATGAATAAATTACAGAAACTGTTGTAATAGTTATAAAAAAGGATTTTGAATTTTGCTCTATCTGAAATCAGTTAATCATTCTTAATAGGTAGTCTGTAAAATGGACATTATATTTGTGACTTGTGAGGACTAAATGAATTTATGAATCTGAAATTCCCTGTACACATATGGTGCTTTTAAAAATAACATTATAGGCATCCTATGTTAAAAATCACTGATGTTAATTGGCTCAATGAATAATAAATTAATTGTTAAAAGTTGTGATTTTTTTTTTTTTTTTTTACTACTTTGGCAGTCAAAAAAGGAACATCTGAAATAGTGAAAAATATATATTGTAGACAAATAAAAATTTACTACTTCTAATACTATTTATTAACTGGAACTAAAGGCAGAAAGAGATTTTTGTCAATGCTACTATATCAAAGTATTAGGCCCATAAACTTAATTGGTTTAAAATTAGTAGTTCCTGGGTTTAAAGGCATAAAAGTGATTGTTTTGGGTCACTGATAACTTATTTAGCCACTACTTCCATCACGAAAACTTCTGTTTTCCTCTCTTATCTCACTCACTTTTATGACTGCCAAATCTCCAAAGGTGCTATCACAGTTCTTGGAGGTCAGGAACCTTATCTTATTCATCCTGTTTGAATTTTCTCTCCTAACACAAACAGTACCAAGAACACTGCCTAGCCTGGACTTCATAAGTATTTACTTTTAACTACAAAAGGTAAACACAGATTGATGTTTTAGAAATTCAAAATCAAACTCATGAATTTCACTGACAAATCCATGAAATTTGAATTGCTGATAAGGTTAAAATTGTAAATATTAAAGACTTAATTATATTTCATTGTTTTAACTTCCATTTGAGTTTTTCATTAAGAATATGTAAGAGTTTGGTTACTTAAGAAGGTAATTCATGCTGATTTATATTGATTTTTGTAAATAACATAGGCAAGACTTGAAGTCATTAGTTATTTTTTCCCTACTCGAGTACAATAATTATCCTCAGCTTTACTGGAGACATTTTGGCCTAAGCAAGGCTACTTAAGTTGCTTTTATTAATTTCAAAATTAAAATGAGTCTTAGAATTTGAGCTTTTAGTATTTGAAGAGCCAGTTGGTCAGCCTCATTAATTTTGCCAAAAAAGTTTTAGTAAGATAAATCAAATTCTATGAAACAAATGTTAAATGTTAATCTTAATGAGAAAGAGTAACCAAAGGAACAAAATATAGTAATTTTTGAACAAATTTAGAAATTTTTTAAGGATTTAGATTGATTTAATAAAATTTACTTTAAGGTTAGAGGAAAGATTATCTTTTATAATATATACACTTTTTTATTTCCTTAAGGATAATTTATGGGTTTGACAGATATGCTTTTTTCAATCATCTACTTATTGAAGGCTAAACATTATATTCTAAATACATAGTGTCATAAATAGACTACAAAATATACAGTTGTTATGTTGTTCTGTTAAACTATTTCACTTAAAAAGTTACTAGATACATGAGTAATACCATAAATATAAATATGATTTAGTCTGAATTGCTGCCATGTTCTGTCATGCTTTTATAGCAAGTTGTGAAGTTAGTATTGGTGCTTTAATGGAAAAAACAAAACAAAACAAAACACACTATTACTATTACTGGAGATACATAATTAACTGTCTAGAGAAATTGAAAAACAATAATGTTTTAAAAAGTAATTCTTTAAAAACTAATTTTAGTATCATTTTATATCCACACTTAGGATTAAAACATAGAAATGGAAAATACCACAGGTCAGTGTACCATTATCTTTATATATAAAAAGCTAATATGCAATGTGTCCCCACAGGTGTTCTATCAGGAGACCAGAAGTTTTATCAATGTGTGCTGACCAGCAGGGGGCAGTGCAGAATGAAAGGAGACCCCGGCCAGCAGCCAGAGGCTCTGATTACCAGCCAGGCCTAGTAATTCTTCATGTGAATTTCAGATGAATTTCATGCACGAGGCCTCTTGTCTATACATAAAAACCCTAATATGCAAATAGACCAAAGGGTGGAAAAATCGGTCACTCTGATGTGTGCTGATCACCAGGGGGTGCACACAAAACATGGCGGGTGACAGGATGATGGTGCAGGTGAGTGGGGGTGCCAGACCAAGGTGCCGGTCATTGTCATTGGGGAGCACTTTAGTGGTTACTGAAAATAATTTGCTCTCATGCTCCACAGTCCTGCACAGCGCTTGCACCCACTGCTGGCACTGTCAGTAGGTGTGAGCGGCGGCTGCCAGCCCTGATCACCCCTGAAGGTTTCTCCACCTCTTCCTGCTCCTGAGGTGCAATCAGGGCAGCAGCCACTGCTTGCACCCACTGACAGAGTCGGCCCCAATTGCTCTGTGCCATCAACATGTGGGAGTGGTGGTGGGGGTGGAACTGCCTGCAGATGGGGGATTGGGCTTGCGGTGGGAGGGGCAGGGTGGCGGCATGGAGGATGGGCCGAGGCCTACCACAGCCACAGGACCAGAGTTCCTTTCAAGCTGCATGAATTCATGCACTGGGCCCCTAGCATAGTAAATATTCAAGAAATGAGAATAAACATGACAGGATTAACTATTTTGAAAAGAAAAATACTAATGCCTATGATTTATAATAGGAAACACTAAATTTAAAGTTTAATACTATTTTAAAGGTTATTTAATAAAAAAAACTAAGGGAAGACTAGAAAGAAAAGGTTTGCTAATTATAAAAGAAATGGGAAAGACTTTTGGTAAAGATGGCAGAGTAGGCAAACACTGTGCTCAACTCCTACCACAACCACATCAAACCGACAAATATACAACCACCATCTCTGAGAACCTCCTGAAATCTCGCTGAGCAGAAGTCTTATAACTAAGAATATAAAGGAGCCATGTGGAGCCTGGTATGCAAGGTGGCGATGTGAAACAGGCAGATCCCACATCCCCGCTGTGGCAATTAAGAATTCGGAGGCTTATCTCGACTGAAGAGGTGTTCCCTAAGGAGCAAGGGGTCTCCAAGCCAGCACTCCAATGCCAGGAAGAGGAGTCTTCATAACATCTGGCTATAAAAACCAGCAAGGACTGCATCTAAGTGAGAGGGAAGGCAGCTGGAGAACTAGGTGCTGTAGGTCTTAAAGGGCACAAACTCGCTTGTATTTTTGTTGAGGGCTCCCCCTATGCAGACATTCTGCCCCAGTGTGTGCTCAATCTGGGATCTCTATTAACCTGGCTAACACTCTATGCCCTACCCTGGTGATTTCCTGAGATCTTGCCTCATCCTACCAGCATGTTCACTTGAACCTTTTCCAGTGGATCCTCCACACAAGCAGCCTGACTTGGCTCATGCTGCAGACTTTCCTAAAACCCCCCCAAAGGTCCACAAAACTTTAAAAAAGCAGTAAGTATCTGGCCTTTGTGTGTTTTTCTATGTTAAGATAGGCATGATCAGTGATCAATCTTAACTTGGCAATGTACTAGGTGTACCAGTTAATAATGCAGATTTTTTTAAATAGATGAAGTTACACATAGGTTGATAATGTATGCTATTTTGTTGTATTGACAGCAAGTCTCAAAACTTCATGTCAAATTTTCTGAAGATGTTAACATAGATATTTTTACACTTAAAAATGTTGAATTTCGTGCCCTAAAAAGAGCATTTGCAGGAAGTTTTAATTCATTATTTTGAAGAGAAGTGATGCTGAAAGTTATATTTCGGAAAGCTTATGATGAACATGCTCTACACCTCAAAATACATGTGAATGCTGATTTAAACACTTTAAAACTGATGATTTTGATGTGAAAGATAAAGAAGTCCAGGTCGACCAAAAAAGTTTGAAGACCAACAATTACAAGCATTATTGGATGAAGATGTGTGTCAAACTCAAGAACAACTTGCAGAAAGATTAAATGTTAATCAGCAAACAATTTCTGATCATTCACAAGCAATGGGAAAGATTTTAAAGGCAGGAAAATGGGAGCCACATCAAATGACTAAAAGACAAATGGAAAACTGAAATCATCAGTAAAATGTTGCTTCAAAATGGCAGGAAAGAAAGTCTTTTTTGCATTGAATTGTGACTGGTGATAAAAAGTGGATTTATTTTTGAGAATCCCAAATGCATAAAATCAAGGGTTGATCATATCAACCATCAACATTGACTGCAAGGCCAAATTACTTCAGGAAGTAGACAATGTTCTGCTTTTGGTGGGATTAGGAAGGTGTGGCGTATTATGGGCTTCTAAAACCAGGTGACACCATTAATACTGAACACTATCAGCAACAAATAATCAATTTGAACTATGCTTTGATCATGAAACTACAACAATGTGCCAGGAGACACAGCAAAATAATTTTGCTTCATGATTATACACCATCACACTCTTCAAAACTAGTTAAAGACATACTAAAAGATTTTTCCTGGGAAGTACTAATCCACCCACTGCATTCACCAGACATTGCTCCTTCAGATTACCACTTGTTCTGATCGATGGCACATGCACTTTCTGAGCAGCACTTCAAAATTTCTACTTCAGAAGTAGAAAATTGTGTCTCTGAATGATTTGTCTCAAAACAAGAAAAGTTCTATTGGGATGGTATCCACAAAATACCTAAAAGACGGGGAAATGTGTAGATACTGATGGACATTACAGTAGGCTGTCAGGTTACAATGGAGATCCGTTCCTATGATGCGATTTAACGCGATTTTC